GCATGCAATTTATCAAGTACTTCCAACGAGTTTTTGACACTCCAAAGGTTATTGATTGCACTATTTTCAAAGGCCTTATTTAACAATTTATTATCAGGTTTATGATTGTACCAAGTGTACTAGTAAGTAGAATAGACAATTTAGTAGTGGAACAATGACTTGAAGACGAAATAAATCTATATTTGTAAGGTGATTTGTGTAGCTTCGGAATCCGGTACATAGTTGGGACTTTCATTGTTTTTGGTTAAAGAAGTAGCTAATAGTTTATGTTTGTTACAAATATCGTTTTCTGAAAATGAAGTCAATGGATAAAACGGGGAAAAGCTGACAAAAATCTTTGGACTCTTTTTTAATTCAGTAATGAAGATAGTTGATATACGTATACAACATTTTAAAGAACATTTTACGCAGTGAGTCGTTGATGATATTACGACACTCATTCCAATTAATAATTGACGGGTGAGGATTTCTAGGTCCTTTCCTGAGGAATGATTTTAACTCTCGGTCGCGAACGATGTTAAGGTCTCCTGTTATAACTTGGGAAATGGGGTCATAAGTGTATTCTGAATTACTACAATTACATGACGTGGGTGTATTTTCACTGATATTTACATCTTTACAGACTTGGCTATAATTAAACACAAATTTCCGGGTAGATTTCTTGTAAATATAACAAATATATTTTTTTCTGAAAATATAGACATAATGGAAGAGGGTCTTGAACAAGAAGAAGAAAAAGTTAAAAACGGGTAATAAGACTTGAAAGTATACCATTTATTACGAGTTCCTTGTCTTTGGTAAAGCACCCATAACAGTCAAATATTTCAAAAGGCTCACCATGTATTTCGTTATATTATTTATCAGATAAGGAATTAAAATGGAATGATGGTTGTGATATAATTGTCCATTTTGCTGACAAAAGTCACATTCCTGCAGAAATTATTCACTCAGAACTCGTTGATATGTTTAGCTTTTGTAGCTGTCTATCAAATTTCCTTGTACTATGTTTGTGTATATTTCGCTTTCCAGTTTAGTTCTTTGGCTATTGGGTGCCATTCAAATCTTGCACCAAGCACAAAAACATATTCAATGTCTTAATCGTCAGCCTGTTAGATAGATTCAACTGTAGACCTGACGATCTGACGTTTACAAAATGTATAGGTGAAAGAATAAATAAAACCAACAGTAGTATAAAGCTGTTCAATAGTCACAAATCGATTAAGCGAAAACAAATCCGGGTCACAAACCAAAACTGATGGAAACACATCAAGAACTAACAGGAAGATATACTTTTCTTCATATTTCATACCCGTATCAAGTAGCGAACGATATTGATATTTGCGAAAAGAGAGTTCATATAAGTCGAGATACTTCTACATTTTGCTATTTTCCTTTTCGCGTGTTTAAGTACCATCTGCAGATATATTTTTTTCAAATTCCTTTGCTGCGTTTTAAATTGTGATATTCTTGTGTAACATATTCAACGATTATATATTTAATAGTTTAGTACATTTGGGAATGAGTAATCGGATGAACGTCTTTTTTCATTAACTAGTCCAGGAAAATATAATAAAAAAAATTATCACAAACGATATTTTTATCAATCTATTATTTAACCTTATTATCATGATTATAAGTATTATCTGTATAAATGAAATGACACTGCGTTTATAGCGAAAATATTATTTGTGCAGACACAGAGCTTTTCCATTAACATTTATGATTAATAACTTTTGTTTCAAACTTGTTTCTCAACCTTCTTTATTATATGTAAAAGTGCATAGGTTCGATTAGCAATATGTGTATCAATGGCTGAAATTTCAAGGTTGGAGATCTAGTATTTCGATTGATTTTTACAAAACCAAAGCAAATGTCGTTTTAAGTAGGCATGTTTCAAATTTCGTAATAAATAATTTGACAAATGCGGAACGTAATGCAATTCAAAAGTTATAATTAGGATTGTGTATACAACTTATCAGTATGATTATCAAGGTGATTGTGACTATTGTACAATAGGCATACAAAAATTATCACGGCTAATTAGTTTTGAGAGGACATTTGACGAAATGATGAATGTTATTTTAAGAATATTTTGTTAACAAACAACTGTAATAATTAAAATTGATCATTTTATAAATAACTTCAATATGTTTAAATGAGGACGAAGACACATAGGTACAACTTTGGAAAGGATAACTTAAATATCATGTCTTTGGTGATAAGAACTACCGGAATCATTTTGTTTGTTTGTTTGATATGTTCCTTTCTGGTTTTATGTTGTTCTATTGATCTCGTTTTAGTTCATTTCTTTTATAGAAAATAAGTAAACTTTGATAATAAAACCACATAAAAACATAATTGAATAAATATTTGAAGTGGAAGTGCATAATCTATTTAGCTCAATATCCCTAATGCGCCTCAAATTGAGGATTTTTTCTCTCTCAATAGTACAGTTTGTATTTAAATGAAATTAAAAAAACAACCTGAGTCAATTTTTTGTCTTATTTCAGTTTCAGACATATCATTCCAGTTTTAACCTGATATGTCAAATTACAGGTTTTATAAAGTTATGAATCACTAGTAAGCATTTTGTTTTATTATGCAAGCTTTAAATTGTTTATGTATGGTATTTATGCAATTCAAATTACAGTCAGGATGTTGAAAATATGCTGGTATGAAAACTGTTGCTATGGTCTTGATATTAAATAAAAATGCTTAGTTACTGATCTTTTTGATGCGACATTTTGAGTTAAACCATGAAGCAACTGTTCGTTATGTAGCACTGCAAACTGGGCTAAGCATTATTTTAATCAGTCGTTATTAAATGACATCATAAAACGTGTGATGTCATAATGTTTACTTAAAAACCTAATGTGCATCTCTCACTGATAAAGGGTTTTCAATGAAATACATATAAAAAAAATTTAAAAAAAAAAAAAATAGAATTATGTGAAAGGACAAGTTTTTAAAATTTGCACTTCATTGTGCTTTAATTATGTTATAAATATGACATTCACAGCAGTTTAGAGTGGTTTTTAAGGTTGAAATAACAGATTTCCAGTGGTAAAAATTATTAAGTATTGTTTTAGGGTTTTTTGATGTAATCTACATTTTTGCATAGTTTCTCAGTCAAAATGCACTTGAAGACATCAGAAAATTTTATTAAATGCTTTAACAGGGTCTGTTTATTGTAATTGAAGGTTATCCTAAGATGTTTTATCCATATTTTGACTTGTAAAGGTATACTGGAAGAAATCAATTATACTTGCACATTGTATTCAGAATTGATACATATAATGATAAAAGGGTCATTGCCTTATAGTGCTGAAACAAGTTTATTTTCTTTCAAAAATGGACAAAATACAAAGATTTATTCAGAAAGTCATACCGATGAAGACGATACAACAATATTTGAATAAATCAGAACTGTGGATTTCAATATGGGTCAATATCCCTAATGCGACTCAAGTTGAGGAACACAAAGTTGTGCGTAAATAAAAAATCTCTGTGTAGTGATATTGGACATGTTTTTATTTCTAACATGTGACTGAGCTTAACCATTTGTGTTGATTTAAAAAGTAGAGGACCATAGAATAAATGTGTAAAATCTATGTAGTTATTAAATGTATGCAAAGCATTAAATTTTCAAAGAACTCATTGTGTGAAAAAAAGGAATTTTTTACCACCAGGAGCCGCATCACGAAAGGATTTTCTGGGTGTACGAAAATAATGAATCACACTTCGTACCCCGAAAATTTAACCACATATGTGAAATGTCTCAGCTTCGAAATGAGCCATTATGCATATCCAAGTTTACGATATGGACTGTACTACAGAGGAAAACGTTAACATTACCGCCTATGTAAAATCAATTAAGCATATTGCCCCATTTGAATACATTGTAGTAATGAATATCAAAGTTTCTAATAAAATTCCTTTCTTTTTTATATTCACACATCATGTCAATACAATTATTACTCAAATGAACCATTATTATTATTGTCTTATTATTTTATTGTTCAGTTGGTTATTATGAATAAGAAGATTGTCATTAATATGCCCTTCAAATGGTACCTTGATTGGCTAGTAAAATAATTTTATCTGTTATCAGACTTACGTTTTTAATTAATCTTTCAAACCAAGAGCCTCGCATTGTAAATTTGAAATCATAAATAAATGCGTTTCATTTGTCCTTCTAAAATCACAAATCCAGTCTCGAATTTCTTTATTGTGTCATCACTGAATTCTAACTTGCCATATGAGCAGATTGACAAGTGCTACTAGTGGTGCAGACTATGCTTATCCTTACTTCCAGAACGTATGCGACCACTCCTTGTTTTTTGTGGGGTTTGTATTTCTCAGTTTTAGTTTTCTGTGAAGTGTTTTATGGACGGGTGTTGTGTCTTTTCGTCCTTTTTGTTTGTTTTTTGCCTTGATTTCTTTTTTACTTTTCTTGCCCTTTTGGTAGTTTTTGCTTTTTGTTGATGGAAATGATTCAGATCATACATTTTGTTTTAGTTTCGTTAAAGTTAATTTTGATAGATAACATTTTAGACACATAACTTAGCAAAACATTACATAAACATACTGTATAGACAATAATGTATTGTTGTTGACTGTATATTGATACTAATTAGATATGTTTTAAGGTTGTTTCACTTGGTTGCTGTCTACCTGACTTAGACAAATACAATAATGGGGTATAATTGCTTTAATCCCCTTAAAATGAATGCAAGATGTTCGAGTAAATATAACAATGTTAAAGTATGGCAAAGTTAGTTAAAGTAAAATAATACTAGTACACAACATTTAACCAACTAAAAACTGCCTTCCATTGTGCATTTAAAACGGATTAATTGGTATGTATTTAAAAAAAAACCTTTCTGTTGGCCATGCTTTGTCTGTTTAGAGGTTTTCTTCAACTAATAGTTTTCATAATATCAGTTTACATTATACAACAAGACACTATAGATTGCCCTGGCAATAATTTTCTGACTCAATAAGCCTTTGCACGATTTATTAATTGTCAAAACAAGTAAATGGTAAAAAGATGGTGCCAATTCAAAATGTTAATTCAATTAGATTTATGTTGATATTTCTCATTTGTCAAATAACATTAAATGTATGGCGCGCATTTCGATAATAAATGTCTTCAGTGATGCTCGAATATTTGAAAAGCCAAAAAAAAATTAAGAGCCAAAAAACCAAAACGGACAAAAAGTATTGCAAAAGCCGAAGGTTCCTTACATTTTTCCGGATTTTTGTACTATATTGACAAAAAGCCAGGCTTCAAATTAGACTTATGAAATGTGAGTTTCAGATCATTAAACTTGAACACTTTCTGATTAACTTTGTGAAATGTATGTTCCTCTCTAAAATGTATGTTTGGATAAAATATGATCAAAATTGTTTTTTCTGTAATTTTTTTTTTTATTTTCCAAAAAAATTAATTTTCAAATTTTTAGATGAATTCAACTAGTGATCACGAAAGTCACTTACTTGCATTTACACAGACGGTTTTGTGTAAAGTTTGATATTGTTTTCCACATAATATATGGATGACTAGCATTCTTAATATTATTAATGTAAAATAAATGGCATGGTTTGTCTTTCAAACTTGCTCTCAAATCTTTTATATAACATTTCGGATGAACTATTTGTATACGTGAAATCCAGGGTAAAAATCCACCACCATAGACATCTTCTAGCCAAAAAAAAGGCATAATTGTTGTCGCCTCATACATCCCTCTTATAACGTCAGCGGACATAATAGAGGAAGGTCCTGCACAATAAGGAGGAAACGTTGCAAACTGATATTCAGACAGAGACATATACCATTTAGAACGACGATCACGATATGGTCTCGCCTCTATAAGATAAAAACATTCTAAAACCTTTGTTTTGTTTATTTTTTTGCTGAGATAAGGAATTAGAAATGGAATGTTAATGGTGATATCATCGTCAATTTTTACGACATAAGTCACATTGTTGCAGAATCTATTAACCCAGAACAAACTAAACACTCTTTTATATGTTAAATTTCTGTAGCTGTCTATAAAATTTCCTTGTATAAGGTCTCTGTATTCGACACTTTCCTGTTCAATGTCCATTTGCTGAGTATCATTCGCGGTTTGCCCAAGAACAAAGACATATTCAATATGTTTATTGTCAAATTTTGAAATAGATCCAAATGTATTCCTTATAACTTGACGTTCGTCGAATTTGTATGTTGCTGAAAAAACAAAAACTAGCAAAAATACATGTTTTTCTGTACACTTTGAACCGGTATAAAGTAACGAACTATATCGATGTTTGTGAATGAGAGGATCCACCAGTTTATCAGTTGATACGTTCATATAAAGAAGTTGAAAATCCGTTGAGATATTCCGTCCGTTGTATGTTATGATCTCCTTGCTTCTGTTTGATAATTTCGTCTGTTTTTTTAATCTTTGCATTTTCCGCTGATTTCTGGGATAGTTGTTTATTAAAATCCATACCAGTATTACAAAGAAAATGTCACACAGTATGGTTTTCCTTAATTTCATAACTTAGATTGGTGCTCTATGTATTAAACACTGGAGTCATTAACGTAGATCAGTGCTTTATAGACAAACTGGATTCTCTAAACGTGTAACAGTTGGTGATATTGTATGTACAACATTTATCAGCTCAAACTGTTCCGGGCACATTAGAATTGAACGCAATTTTAACTATACCTGTTTTTGTAGATCCTGTATTCATTAATGTAATTATTAGATTCCATATCGATTGTGTTGTAATAGTTTAATTTCTGAAATAACAAATGAGGGTTTTTATTTCATGAGGTTTATATATAAAGATTAAAGATTGAACTTTGAAAAAAATATGAAAACAAGGTATGTTAAGGCAACTTTTTGGCCGCTTGAATTCGAAAAAATAAAGAGTATTATAAATCTAACAAACAACATTCTATTTAGATGAATTTTGCATTTTTTAGTTTTCTCCTAGTCATATGACTTTTCATGCGTTTATGTTTATACATTCCTAGCTTACAAACTTGAGGGTTTGAACGTTACTGACCATCAACGTAAATCCAGAAGAGAGGTTTCGGACGCACTAAATTATAAGGATTTTTTTTCATTTTCGAACAGTGAGACGATACCACTGGTGGTTGAATTAAATTCCCCGAGGGTATCATCAACTCAGTAGTCAGTACTTCTAAAATCAATCGTTGATAACTAAGGTTCCATCTCCCTCAAGCAAAGATGGTCTTATATCAATTTTTCTTTTTGTTAGGTCATTTGTTGTCAAATAGTGCTCACGTATTTACGTCTCACAGTTCCTGGCTTCCGGGATTTGAGCACTTCTGATGACGGTAAATCCCGAAAAACGCCTTTGGATGCACGTAATTAAACAAGTGTTATTTTTATTTACTTACACTACCTTGGTACTCGAATATTTTTAACATACTTTTCTTATATTGTCCTTTGGTAAAAAAAAATTCTAAAGAAACTTGAGTTCCAACTCATTCAGGCAAAGTTGACAATGAATTTGACAATTTATATAACCCTTTTCGTCATATTGCTTTTAACGTGTTTAGGTCTTAAACATTCTCGTCTTTCATTTTAAATGTTTGGGCTGGAGCGTTCCTAATTAAGGTAAATCCAGAAAAGCGCTTTAAACGGACGAAATTTATAAAGTGTTTATTTTCCATCTACAGATGTTTATGAGACATAAGTCTGCTGGACATCAGTATATTTTTATATTTTATTTTACATACTGGCATCAAGGCTTCACACATTGAGTGAAAAACAGCAAAACACCCTAAATAGCCTTATTTAGAAATCATTGGGTAGAGAAAGTGTGTTAGAAATATAGTAATATATGTGTGACATATATTTTTGGGCAAAACTGTTCATTTTGACAAATAAAAACTATGCTAACAATTCGGCATTTTAGGTCAAATAAGTAAATTTTGACATATTTATAAAGTCAAAGTGAAATCTCAAGTGACCTATCTGTACTAATGTGTCAAGATTATATTAGTCTGTTTATTTATCAATAAAATTAACATTATTTTGAAAGACTTCACTATTTTTGCAAATTTCATACCTCGTCCTTTAAATGAAATAGGAACACAAATAGAAGTGATTTATATGTGTCTAATGTACCACAGTAGGTAATATTCTTTATAAAAGAAAAATACATGTATACCTAGGCAAATAGTCGTTAATGTTATAAATTGGCTACAATCCATTACTTATATGCTTTAGAATTTTCCTCCTGTTGGAATTGTTATTATTCATCACTTTATTGTATGATTTGATATTTTCCCCGTGCTGGAGTTGCTATAATCCATTACTTGATTGTTAGCTGCGAAAACGTAGCTCTATTGTCCTTTGAATTTTTTTTTGCCATAGATCCGCAAATATCAAAATCGTCAAAAGGACCTTAAGAGCTACGTTTTCGCAGCTACTTGATTGTATGCTCAAATATTTTGCCCGTGCTGGAGTTCCTTTAATACATTACTTTGTTGTATGCTTTAATATTTTTCTAGTGCTGGAGTTGTTATAATTCATTACTTTGTTGTGTTCTTTAATATTTTTCCCGTTCTGGAGTTGCTATAGTCCGTTATTGTATTGTATGCTTTCGTAGTTTCCCCGTGCTGGATTGCATGTTCCTACATTTTAGATATACCGTATTTACTGTTAAGATAACAACTTTTATTCCGACAGTACGGGATAGATTTTGGCATTGTTGAAGAACGTGCGGTGACAAATAAGTGCCTATATCCATTTCATTTAAACTTTGGTGGATAGATGTCCCATTGACAATTAGACCACATCTGCTTATTGTCAGACTTCATGTTCACGCTGTCAACAATTTTGTGTACTGTTGGGGTATACAATGCACCCAAATGATATAACCTCTTCATACGTAATTTCCTTCAAAGTTATAATAAATAAAATAATATTCTTTATTTAACGAAGGTAACTCATTTAACAATTACTTGATAATCATCCATGAGGCCTTCAAAAACTTTTATACAATCAGAAAAAATACAAACAAATAAAATACATAATACAGTTAACTATATTAAGCAGCTTAAATATTAATTAAAAACTTATGCAGTTAAAAGAAGAAAAAATACATTAAATTCCGTTATCTTCATTTTGTAAAGTTAAGAATTAAATTGAACATTTGATCTTAAATGTATCTAAATTACTTGTTTCTTTAATATTTTTTGGCAAATTATTCCAGGTAATAAGACAAGAATATTTAAATGTTCTTTTTAAAAAATCAGAATTAGGTCTTGGTCCATGTAGGAGTCCTGATGTTAGCGAATAATTATAAAGATCAATACAAGCAGTAAATTTATCAGATATATAATCAGGTGCTAGACCATTCATACATTTAAACATAAGACAGCTTGAAAATAGTGTATCTTGTAAATATAGTCACCCATTTAAGTTCTTTAAACAATAAAGTTGATGGAAAATCAAAAGAAACAGATAAAATTAACCTCGCAGTGTGTCGTCCCTGATATAAATTTGCGACATTTGAGGACTTGGGTTCAGACTTGTTGCGTCTGGGCGCCATTTCTTAGACATTCGAAATAACTAAAGCTGCATAAATATACTTGTTATAAAGGTTAACAAACGTTTATAAAAGATCTCATCAAGGGTTAAAACATATATTTCTGGATATTATTTACGATTTATCATAATTAATAGCTATTCTTTATTTTCTTTAAGCGAATTATATTGATTCCGTATAAACCGACACTGCGACACGGTTTCGACACAGTTTAGTGTGTCGTATTTCTAATAATGCATATTAAAGCATATACATTATATAAGATCGGATAGATAATTCACTTTCGGGAATTGTATATTATTTGAAATATCTAATCACAGAAGAGAATATTTTATAAGCTCTGAATAGGTCATACGCATAATTTCACCATTATAAGTTGACACACTCTATATATAGTAGTAGTAATAGTAGTATCTCGACACACATATTCAAGTTTCAATAAGAGAACATAGTTCGAAATTCTTAATAAGAAGATAAGTTGCACATTATTACATATTTTGTTTATTATTACTATATGCATGGTTCATAAGACATACTGATACCAGAGCCAATCCATAAGCTACCATCGATCTAAATATGATACCATCAATTTATTTCCGTGCATAATAAATAACTTTCCATTGAAATTGAATAATTTATTGTTAATTGTAAAAAATATCATAATATATTTCACTAATAGTTTATAAATCGTTAACTTATCAAACATCTCTTCATACATGCCATACTTAATCCAACACATTACAACAGTACCGAGAGGCGTTTACAAACAGGAACTAGCAGTTAAGATTACCAATAGGTTTGAGATATTACCAATCCTCCCCTTATAAAACGCCCTCGGTCTGTCGATAGGTACGCTACGTTTCCTTGAGATAGAAGTGTTGTCGTAGAGGAGATTTTCATTGATTACACCTCCCAGGCAGCAGTTCGGACCTGCTTCAATATTAAGAATATTCCTCTACATAAACTAAGATTTATTATATGATTAAGGGGCCTGCTACAATCGATCTTTATAATTTTAGAATCATTGGTTCAAATCCATCAATTCAGGCTGATTCAGTTATGTCCAAATGTTTTAAACATTGTAAAACTTTCTCATTTGTGACAATATATAGTGAAAATTTAACGTCATCGTTTTTTTCCGATTTGACATACTTTATGATTTTCTTTGATTCAAAACATGTGTGAGGATATTGGATAAGCTTCTCAACTACTATGGTAAATTGGTCTATAAGCAGTTAGCAACATCATTTCTGTGTGTAAGGATTTGTCCATCATGTGTTAAAATGTCCAGTTTTGTTATGGAATTCATATCCTTCAAATGCCTCCGTGTAATTTTACAGGTTTTTTTTTATCATTATCTATGGCATCCATAAAATATTTTGCTTTAGCTGAACGAATTAACTGACAAGTTGTATTCCTATATTTTTTTATAATTCTCAGTCTCTTTCTTTTTGTGAAAATAATCCTTTTGGTATTTTGATTTACAAATTTCATCTTTATACCATTCTGGTTGATATTTATTTTTACGCGTCAGGTTACACCAGGGGCATGTTTATCTAAAACATATAAGTAAGTTATAACACATGTCCATTTCTTTGTTTGGATCATTGATTTCATGTATCATATCAAATGGCTGATTTGATAAACAGTGTACGAATACTTCATCATTAAATGTTTTGACGTTTCTGTATTTGGTCTCTAGAAGGGTCAACTACAATATTTGATGAAGACCATGTATTGTATTAAAAGTTTAGAAAGAAGCTGTTTCATGAAATCAATATTAAAGTCGCCCATCACCAATATATATTTATTTTAGATAAGTTATCTACTTTATATCATTTTCAAAGAAGACTATCCATACCCGCCTTGTTTATTTTCCTTATCTGTTCTTTCAATGCTGTAACCTGTGATATTAATCTCATTAGAATCCCGCTTACATGTTTTTTTATATTTAAAAATATCTCACACATGCCAATGATATTTGATCTTAAAGTTGTGCTTCTTAGGTAAAATGTGTTGTATATTATGGCATGTTAATTTTATTCCATTTTCTGAGTGACCATATACATTACCTGTATTTATACTTTTATTTCTTGATGTGCCCCCATGGTATTTTTTTTTCTTTACCGTGTGATTGCTGTGAAATTGATGACAGCATTTTTCAGATTCTTTGCCAGATATAGTTTATAATTTATTACTTGTGGTTTTAATGCGCAGATGTAGCGTAATCGATATCAGGTAAAGAATTACGGTATAATCGGTGCGAGGGCTTCATTAAACGTCTTATGAGATTTTCATCAATGTCGATAACCTGATTGTGACTTTGCCATAAAGAAAAGCAATTAAAGAGCTGATCCTTTGTATTTGTTTTCGTTTTGTGTGTACTCGAAGTGAATTTGCGTTATGCATTGATACATATTGATATAACATTGTAATTTGTTAACATTATATTAAGTTGTTGATTTGCCTGTTGTCCTTGACGCCTTCTCAATTTAATTGTACATTTTGTTGATATTATGCTGTGACTTAATTACAGACATAAAGATAAATATGTTACAGTTGCTTTAATTTATGAAACAAAATGGCACTTTCGCCATTAGATTTGATGCAGTTAAATATTAGCAGAACCTGAACCGAAAACGATAATACTTTGACATCTGACATACTGAAGGCGATCTTGTGGTAACCGTTTTTTAGTAGTCTATGGTTCATATGTAAATATAATTGGAAAGATCTTAAAACGGGTTAATTTTGTAATTTTTCCTCCAATGTAATGAGATTGAAGATACCAGTGCAGAATCATGGGCAACAGTCAAATATGTCATTAATTTATATGTAAATGACTTTTCTAATGAATACGGTAAAATAATTATTTGATATAAAATGTATCTTTCTTAACATTTTCGAATTGAAGGGCTGACTTTGTTACTTCATCATCATTTATACATTGCGTTTTATAAATAAATGCAAAATGTTCCAAGAAACGAAAAAAGTTATATAGAACATTGAACAAAATACATCTACTGTCGATTGTGTAGTTAATATATATTCAATATTAATCATTGTATGACATTTACTTGTTCTTTTGGCCAGGATGTTGTTTGTAAAAGTTTTTCTTCGACTAATGGTTTTTGATTGTCCCCTATTTATGTTCTTTCCCTTTTACTTACCGAATTAACTTAACCATCTTACAATCTCAAATCTGAATATCAGAAGGCAAAGGATGTACAACTACTTGAATACTGAAGCGCTATTTAGCCAAAATGAACTTAAAAAATATAAACAAATCTATAAAAAGCAAACCTACCTGAAGAAGTATATGTTTACGGACAAAATTCAAATGTATTCCAAATAACCCGAGATGGTTCAAATGTTTATGTAGCTGAATAAAAAAGAACAGGAATACTTTGTTCATAGTAATAAGAAGCGTTAATGGGAGGATCTGTAAGTTTATCTGCTTATTTGTTCGTTTAAAAAAAAATCTAGAACAAAAGAAGATGTCCGTGACCCATTTAACGGGCTATTCAATCTTGACATTAAATACTATTTCAATTTAAGATCTTAAAGATAGGTTTTGCGCCTCCCATATTCACTCAATAAACTGGTAATTAATGAAACATATTTTTACGATCAGTCCATTACAAGTTATAGTTGGCATACTGATTTCTATGCAATGCAATAACGATGATCATGTATCAAATTACCCCCACCTAAGCAGCAATATACCAACTTCACCCGAATATGGGATATATATTTCCCCAACTCATTCGGTTTTCAAGAGCTTGCAGCTGCCATTCAGACTTTATAAAACGTCAACAGTGTCTGAGCAGAAAGTTGGTGAACCAATGTTATGTCTAAGAACGTCTATTTTCTAAAACAAGTTCATCGGAAGATACCAAGACCTTGTTGATAAATATTCCCGTAATATGTAAAAAGTAAAATAACAAAAATATAGAACTCCAAGGAAAATTCAAAACGGAAAATCCTTTATCAAATGGCAAAATCAAAAGCTAAAACACATCAAAAGAATGGAAAACAACTGTCATATTCCATATTCCTGACTTGGTACAGGCATTTCCTTATGTAGAAAATGGTAAATTGAACCTGGTCTTATAGCTAGCTAAACCTCTCACTTGTATGACAGTCGCATGGAATTTGCATTATATTGACAACAATGTGTGAGCAAAATAAACAGACATAATAGGTAAAAATGTCAAAATTGGGGTACAACAGTCAACATTTTGTTATAATCTTAATCACTATAAAAACAAATAACTATTATAACGAAAATGACATATAGAAAATCTATAGACTAAGTACATGAGCAAAAATAAAAGACAAGAATACAAAAATGACCATAAGACAATAACACAATGACGGGATGTATAAATATCGAGCCACGCCAAAAGTATATTACCACAAATGGACCAAACATCAAAGGTTAAAAATATACAAAGACAAAAAGAAACCAACACTATAACAGGTAATTAAGATGATAAACAACGTCAGAACCTAGAATCTATACTTCAAGACCATCATGTATTATTTGTGAAATTGATATGGAATATTTATCAACAAAGTCTTGGTTTCCGATGAAATTTTTTTTTTTTTTAAAAGGGACTTCTTTGACATTATGCTGATTCATCAACTTTCTGCTAAGACACTGGTTATGTTTTATAAAGACTGAGTAGCAGCTGCAAGCTATTCAATACCGAATGAGTTGAGAATTGTATATCCCATATGCAGAAGAAGCTGGTATATTGCTGCTAAGGTGTGGGAAATTTATAATTTCAAAATTAAAATCGACTCGTTTGTCATAGATACTGGTACTGAACTGACCGCTTTGAGCTATAAGTCTAAAAAGGAGGCAGAGGAAGCCGTGTCTGTTGTTTCGTTAATATTTTAGTTCTGGAGGATATATTAATGAAACCTAATCAGAAAAGTTAGGATTGGTAATGGAAAGAACATTATCAATATATCATAATGTGAAATGAAATGATCTGGCTTATTTGATATTCTTGTTTTTGACAAGTGTCTGAAGGAACTCCGAATCATATGAAAATAAGAAAAGGTCCTCAAAGAGAGGCGCACAGTTCGTTCCCATAGGAACATCGACAATTTGTTCAAAAAATCTACTGCCAAATTTAACAAATACGTTGTCAATAAGAAACTCCAGCATACTGATCAATTGTTCCTCTGTGTAGCATGTTTTACCTTTTTGTTCACTATTAAGAAAATATGCCGTATTAGTGGAGCGGCGGAGAAGACAGTTTTAGAAATTTAGATTACCTACATACCTCATGGCAGTATAATAGCTCATTGGAAAGCTTAAATCGTATACTTTTTGAAAATATGTGTCGTAAATATAAAAGCTGGTGCCATCATGCTTTCAATGAATGTCAAAGATCATCACTAAAAACATTGCTATTTTCATCTGGAAAACAAAACGCAGATTTTTTCAAAATAAAAAATCTATTCAATGAATTATACCAGTAGTATTCTAAGTTCCGCCTTAGGTGTGTTTTATATTTGCATATGACGTCAGAATAACATATTATTTAACTTTTTCGAAGGTAACACGTTTGATTGAAATTTCAAAGAGAATAACAGATATCAATAGAGTATCAAAAATACGTTGTTGATAAAATCCAACAACATTTGCAGGTCAAATTTCGTCTCTGTTTTCCAGAATTCGACATGTCACTGAATTTTCTTGAAATAAATTCTCAATGTTAGTCTCAATACACGATAATTTTTCAGATAATACAAGAAGCATGAGTTATTGAAGAAAAAACTACTAGTAACTTTCATTCGACGGTACTGTAATGAATGCAAGCGGGATTTATGACAAATTCAAAAAATAAGACATGACCGTTTTCATATACAAAATTTACATACGACATAAACGAGAAACGCCCCAATTTAATTAGAAAATATTTCCTATAAATCATGTTTGTGATATTTCATGTTTCATCAGCTAAGCCGGCTGATATGGCCTGGAAATTGTTACAACTACCTTCTGTTTGACAAAACACAAATCCGTGCAAGAAAGGTTGATTGATTGATTGTTGGTTGCTAAACGTCCAATGGCAAATATTTATTGCATGTTCAGGACGAGAACACATTAACAATAAATATAATAGATAGGTCCTGTAACAGAGGCCGTCCGGGTTGAAGGTCGGGGAAATTTGGACTGCCACTGGAATATGAGGGTTTATTGGATAGAGACAAAAATGTTGCCTTGCAACAGGCCCCCTACGACTCTTTTAACAAAAATCTTACGACTAAACTTGATCATTAGTTATACTGAAATGTTATTTTTAAGCATCTGGTAGAAATGGACAGTCAGAACAAGAACATCAGTATCATCAGAATTGATAAAAATTCTATCCTAACTGTCTCCTACACCAAACATAGCATCGGCGAGAAAAACATGTAAAATTATTGTGGCATCTGCCTCTTCATGGTTACAACGTACAACTCGGACAACTGATAAAACCACCGTCTGTCAGCTTTTGAACAATTTCCGATTTTGCTTTGATGTTATTCGCGGCTTTAAAGGCGTCGCCATTAGAAATGTCGCTTGTAAATACTTGATTTACCTTGTCCTTGTTAAGAAATGAACACTATGGCATTCCTGTAGGGCTTCGTAAGCTTACCATTGAGTTTAAAGTAACTGCAGTAGGTCTTTTTAATGTTATTTGGTAAGAAAGACTGGTATATTTCAACATTGATAAAATAACAATAGTTATTTTGTCACGAATAAAGTTTTTGTCTATAACTTTAACTACCCTTTCAAACGCCAAATCCTACGTAGATTTACCAGTGTATTTTGGTCTTTATGCCAAGCATGTAGTCAAACATGCAGCATGATAGACTGCATTATTGAGCAAATTCTCATGCTCTATTCGATATATGATATCAGCTTGCCTGCTCTAACAGCACCATCATTTTTCTTCCAGCATGGTATGTACTAGTAATGTTTTCACTTTTTATGAGACATTTTCTTGTAAATTATACACTTGATGTATCGAGAGGGTCAACATTACTTTCAACAAACAAAAAAATAAAAAAATCTGGCTTCATATCTGGTGCTTCCTTTTCAGCCGCGCTATACTGATTTCAAATTCTGTTTACTTTGTATAGCTTTTAAAACAAGACCTGTGATACCTATATATGATGGAATCAGTTTATGGATAATAACAGAATTCATTAAATTATTAAATAAATCATCACGTCTCACTGAAGCTGCATTTACCAGACTTTTTTTTCTAGATTATTGTTGCTATACTTAAAATCTAAGCAAATACAACATTGCAGGTTATGTATTTGTCAACTCCAACTTCAGAGCATCTTGGCATCGGACGAAGCCAGTTTTAACGAACCAGTGTAATTGTCCTTTTACCTGATTATACAACAGATCGAACACACCCTGCAATGATTGTCACTTAGACGGTTAAATTCAACAAACACGACTAAGCATCACTACCTACGAACATAAATAAATCGCAAAACTTCGGAAATTCTAAAGTAAACGAGAAATCCGCGTGATAATAACTACAAATGACCAACACAAAATTGCCTATAAATGTGGGCCTATAACTAGGAGCCAGAACAGTGTCGGTTCACATTATGTGTAACTAATTATATTGCTTATTGCTAATTTTCTTCAAAAAGTAAATCGGGTCGATTGAAGTATTATACGATTGCTTATAGTTGTACCTTCAAAATACACATTAATTGCAAGTGCAAATAATGCTAGGTGAAAAACAGTGATTTTTTTGTGGTGTTTTTTTTTCCATAATTTTTATATGCTCTATGCATTAAATATAGGACTAATTAAAACTGCCCTTACAATGTATGAAGTTCATGAGTAACCATATTTACCAATTTAGCTCACAAATCATGTTTAGAAAGTGGTTAACCATGAAATTAATCTTTTGAAACAGCAGTATGGTCTTCAAAAAGTTGGGTAACGTCAGTTAAGGTCGTTTTTAACGTCATTGGCACCACATTTGACATGTACGACAAACATTTTTCTGAAGATGAATAATCGATAGACATTTTAAGATATTAAAATTCCATGAGGTATTTAGGTAATTTAAACTCATTAACTAAGCGTCTTCTTCAACATTCGCCGCTCCACTATATGGTATCTCAAAGCAATACATTTATAGCGTATGCTACCATTTTTATATTGAAAAGCATTGTGGATTATTTCTTTTAGACGATTTTCCAATTTCACATGGGGAATTGTGGTATACAGGGTTGAAAAATCAAAAGTTTTGATAGAATAAATTTCAGAGAAAGATTTTAAAATTACACAGAAGTTCTTTAGAGTTTTTTTTAGAAACCACATAATTATGGTTAATATCACTACGGGATTAAACATAAACCAACGGCAACCACTGAATTATAGAATCCTGA